CCCGGCCCGGCTGAGGCCCGCAACACCTCAGCCCTGCTGCGGGTCCGGGTCCAGCCCCTACGCAAGGACGAGCAGGCCAAAACCTACGTTCTCTGCACCCAGCGCCGACCCGGTCAACCTTGGTTACCTCATCAAGGCCCCGACGGACGTATTGTGGTGTTGGAGGAGAAAAAATCGTTGTTGCCTCTTTGGTTGCAGGTGATTCTCATCGCCGGGCTGCTGGTGCTGTCGGGGATGTTCAGCGGGCTCAACCTGGGCCTCATGGCGCTGGATCCCATGGAGCTGCGTATTGTGCAGAACTGTGGCACCGATAAGGAGAAGCGTTACGCTCGTAAGATCGAACCCATCCGCCGTAAGGGGAACTATTTGCTCTGCTCCCTGCTGCTGGGTAATGTGCTGGTTAACACCACCCTCACCATTCTTCTCGATGACCTCATCGGTTCCGGCATCGGAGCCGTGGTTGCTTCCACCATCGGCATCGTCATCTTTGGGGAGATCGTGCCCCAGGCGCTCTGCTCCCGCCACGGCCTGGCCGTGGGCGCCAACACCATCATGGTCACCAAATTCTTCATGCTGGTGACGTTTCCCCTCTCCTACCCTATAAGCAAGCTCCTCGATTGCATCCTGGGCCAGGAAATCGGCACCGTCTACAACCGGGAGAAGCTGGTGGAGATGTTGAAGGTGACGGAACCCTACAATGACCTGGTGAGGGAGGAGCTCAACATGATCCAGGGAGCCCTGGAGCTTCGCACCAAAACGGTGGAGGACGTGATGACCCCACTGCAGAATTGCTTCATGATCAACAGCGACGCCATCCTGGACTTCAACACCATGTCGGAGATCATGGAGAGCGGCTACACCCGCATCCCTGTCTACGAGGACGAGCGTTCCAACATCATGGACATTCTTTACGTCAAGGACCTGGCTTTCGTTGATCCGGATGACTGTACCCCCCTCAAAACCATCACTAAATTTTACAACCACCCCGTCCACGTTGTCTTCCATGACACCAAGCTGGACGCCATGCTGGAGGAGTTCAAAAAGGGTGAGAGGGTCAGGGTGGTGCCGCTTCTTCCCCTTGGAGGAGGCCGGCGGATGCCGGGGAGTTTTGCCCTCCGCGTCTGCCTGCTGTCCCCACGGTTCGGGCACTCGCGATCTGGAGGGGACCGGGCTGTGGTGCTGGGGATCGGCAGCGCGGCACCGAACCAGGGCAGCTGCCTGTCCCCAGATTTCCGGGGTTTGGCGTGTAACGGCACTGCGCCCACACCGGGGAGGGAAAAATTATCGGTGGCAGAGCAACCAGTGCTCAGTGCCAGCCTTGAGAAACACTTTGGGAGTGTTTATTTGCTCCTTGTTTTTAATTACTGGCCCCGGAGGCCCTTGAATAACTGCTGGAAAATTGCTCGGCTCCCTGGTTTGGGCTTGGCTCCCTCCTCTGGGCCCGGAGAGCGCTGCTGGGTGCTGGCCCCCATCCCTGCGCTGCTTCCTGGTCACGACATCAGGGCACCTAAACCTGAGAGGAGGGCTGGGAGGAGGAGCAGCAGCAGCAGCAGCAGATCCCGGGCTCACCGGA